ACTTATTGTTCTAAAAAACAAAGGCTGGGTGGGCGGCGCTAGTACTTGCTAAAAATAAAAAAATTAAAAGTTCAAAAATCGACAAATTGAAAAATCGGTTATCTTTTTCTCTACTTATTTTTTTATAATTTCGAAGAAAACCTTGAATAATATTTACTGAAATTTTCACTCAACCTGAAGGAATATTTACCGTTTTTGAAATAACGTTGTTCTAGAATATTAGAGTAAGATAATAAGTATTAACAAGTATCCTAAACGGGAGGTTGCAATAATTATACATTATACATGTTTCATAAATTTAAGAACAAAATCTTTCGCTTTGTAAAAAAACACTAAACAAGGTACAGTTTTTCGTTTCGTGTCATCCGAGTGTTAAAAAACAATCGGTGTAAAAAATTTCGAGAGTACTTTTTTCACCCCCATAGGATTAACTAACGCATGTTAAGCATTTTTCTTGTGTGGTTACCCTCAACTTAAAATATATAGACAAACGGAGCATCAGGATCTCTTCTGCATCTAACAATTAGGATTTTTTTAATTCCCAAGCATAAGCTATGCAAGTATTGTATTCGAGGCCACTGGGTGCTGGCTACTTTTATATTTTCTGGCTGTCATGGCCCATAGTTTACGAAAAAATAGGTCTCCTATTTCCGTCTATCTGTTTGTTAGACAAATAATCTCAGAAACTACTGGACCTATTTTTTCCAAACTTTATATGTGTCTTATGAATATCATGTAGATGGTAAAACGTTAACCAAATTCGGTTTAATCATCCCTACCAACAATGTGATGGCGTCACCTCAAAATTGTACATAGCAAATAGGTTTTTGGTTGTATAAAATAAAACAGTCCTACACATGTAGTTTATGATTCTATGTTGAGTTTAACCGAAACGTCCTGATTTTTTTGGAAAAAAAATTGAAAACATTTTACAGGTATTTTAAAGTTATCATAAGCATTGTTAATTGGTAATCAAAATGTATGTGCTTATTCCCTTTAAATTTTGTCAAATAAATGCTATCTTAAATATACAAAACGTGATATGTCTATTCTTGTGATTTATCATTGCATTTAAATTTTTTAAAATTTGTTTACTTATACAGGGTGACTCAAAAAATAATGAATGATTCAATTCATTTTATTGATTACATCAGGAACTGCAACACCGAATGCTTTGAAATCTTGCGGACGTTTTGAAGTTATTGTGAGCATTATAAATTTTTATCCAGGTATATCTATCTATCCCCTCCAAAAATTGATGACACATCTCAAAATTTTGCCGAATAAATCCTCTCGAAAATGTGCAAAATTGTCTATACTTGTGATTTATCACTGTATTAATATTTTTTAGAACTGCTTATACAATGTGACTCAAAAAATTTAGGAATATGTTAATTTATTTTACTGATTAAGTCAGGAATAGCTCACCCCATTTTTCCGAAAATTTGGGAATACAATAATACTGATATTTTTATTCTTATACTGCAATCCAAACTAATATTCATGTTCTTTAAAAAATGATGATGTCATCACGAAATTTTGTAAAAGAAAAAACTCATTTGAAACAACGCTTAGCATGCTCCTTCACATTTCTTTATTATTGCATACATGTCTTTAACTTATAAGGCTTCTCATAAAAAATAAGGTTGTAAAATCAAATGTTGTAATGTTTCGAAAAATTTGCATATGATTTATTGTATTTTAGGGGCGAGGAAAGTTCTGTAGAAATAACCTACGGTCAACTTTTTTAGTAACATTTTTATTTACTACCCGACCGTAAACTAAGAAACATTATATTAGGACTACTCTCATGTTTCTTCGACGTTTCATGACCACAAAACTACGAAAAAATCGGTCTGCCGTTTCCGTCTGTCCGTCTACCGTCTGCTGCCTTTCCTCCGCCTGTCTCGATTTTTATAAGGCAGATAATCTTCTAAACTAACCGAACAATTGCTGTCTAATTTTATGTATATGTTAGGAATATCGTGCAGATGGTAAAACATTAACCAAAATTTGGCTAATTAATCTCACTAATAATTTCATAATTTCTCCTCAAGTTTTCCCTGTAAACGCCATTTAGGTTATTAAATAAGATACTCTTATACTCGTGGTTTATGAATCCGCCTTGATTTTTTACCCTTTACCCTTATACTAATAGGTATAACAGTACTGTGCGGAAAACTCGGTGGTCGTGCCGTAAAAATGTTGGAATGCTGACGCGAATGTGGCAGGCTTGATTGATTCATGGGTCATCATTGTATGAATAAAAAAGTATTATCATAATAACACCTACTTATCCAAAATAATATTCAGAACGTGTTTCTCCATTTTAGCTTGATTAATTATGCATTTTATCATCGCATTCATTTCATTTTTTAATTTTTTGAAGAAGCTGTATTTGTTCGAATTAACTTTAAGGGCGACGCAAATTCTGCTTAAGACCAAGTTTTTTTACATATTTTATTAATAACTCAAATACTATAAATTGTAAGCGAAATTTGAGTAGTTTTTAACATAAAGACGCATTTTTTGCTTATGTGATGGGATGTTACAAAAATAAGCATAATTAGATTCGTGATTCTGAGAATTTGGTCAACTTCAATTTTTTTATAAATGTAAAAAAGGTGGAGGTGCCGGGATAATAAACATAAAAAATTAATTTCCTTCAAGATTCGATCAGAGGTTTTATATTATAGAAACACTTATATTTTCCTTTAAATTTATTGTGTTCGGAAAAAAAATAGCAACACAATTAGGTTTGTTCTATGAAAATTAAATTAATGTCATTCGGACCGATTTCATGAAAGAGAAATCTTTTGTGTAAAAACATATTTTTCACCGTCAGGTGACACGGTATAATGAAAGTAGACAGATTCGTGATTCTGAGAAAATTTCTGTTAAGAATGGCTGATTTTAGGACCGATTTGACCAACGTTAATTGTTTGTAATACATCACTTTTTTTATTAATATTTGGATATATCATGTATTCATGTATCAGTAATTACAAAAAATATGAATCTGATAAACCATAAGTGTAGACATAATATCTTTTACCTTTTTGATCAGATATGTCCAGAAAAATTCTCAAATAGCGCCATAAAATTTTTGAAGAAATAAAATTCTGGTTAGTAATTTCCCGAAGATTTCAGAGCAGTTGGTGTGGTAATTTCTGGGTTAAGTTCTAAAATTTTACAAGATCTTATTTTTTTTTTTTTTGGAGATCATTTGCCTAAGAAAATCAACAAGAGATGACAAATGACAAAGGGAAACAGGAGAACTACGTTTTCAATTCTGGGGGTTTTGAAAGTTCGAGAAAATATGAAATTAGCCATTTGCCAAATGGACCTTATTACAATACTTCCCTAGCTTACAGATGAGTAGAACAAATCTTAAAAACTCGTTATAAAAAGGTTTATACTTCAGTGCTGACACTCCAAAGCCTCTATGGCAACACCTTTAACAAAATAACACGAACCGACCTGAGATTTACGAAACTAATTATACAATAAGAAAATTATTCATAAGAAATGAAAGAAAAATAGGTTTCTCGAACATAGCATACCAAACAAATTTTCGACGTCAAGAAGTACTTTCACGAAGGAATTAAAAAAAAACACCTGTACAAAGTCAAAAATGCATCTATTTCTATTATTTACATTTTTTGTTAATTTCTCACTTTAATAATGTTGATGTGAATATCTTAGCTCCGAGGTAACTAGATCCGAGTATTGTAGATCTCATATTAACGCTTTTGAGTGTGTAGGTATTGTTTAAAATTCTGAATACTGGACACATCGGTGCCAGACTGGTTTCTGAAATACCTATACCAATTTATATCAATGTATTTATTTATACCCAAATTTTGCAAAGCTAGTAACAACGATTAAAATAATTATACGTCCATAGAATTATTATATTTTATATTATTTTATTTTATTTGAAACTATTATTATAAACACGATGAAAAAATATACTTGTAAATAATAATTAACAAGTGTGAAAACTCTTGTACATATTTCAACCTAACAATTGATCTACAGCAGAGAAAGTGTTCTTGGTCAGTCGAAAATATTGTTGTAAGTGTCATGAGTGTAGTATATATTCAAATTTCAAAGCAAAAAAAAATTTCAGTTTCAGTTTTTTCAGTTCAGCTGAACACACTTTCGTAGGTTCCATAAATTGTTGAATTACAAACTAAAAATATATAGTATATAATTTCTCAGAAACATTCGTCTCTTCTCTCTATAATGAATTTGATGGACAAATAAGGCTTATATGTTTTAATGCAGGTTTGCGTTCAGTTCCATTATTATTATTTTAACATAACAAGTTTTTATGTCTTATCAAAATTAACTCAAATCGATTTTTTAATGTAAATAAAATAGAAACTAATAATAATTATTATTGAAAATTGCTTAAATTTTAATTAATTAGTTAAGCAAACCGACAGTTTTCATTAAACATTAAAGGGTAATCATCAGATATCAAAATTTCGTTATGTAAATACGTTATATCAACAAAAACCTTTAACATTTTTCTCATATTTAAATTAGTAAATTGAAGTTTTAATCATATATGAACTGAGGGATTTTTTTATACTTAATGGAAACATCATTATTAAATCTGCATCTACATATTTGAACATCCCACGACTTATCCTTTTCGTTTCTTAAGCTTTTATCTTGGATTTTTAACAATCAAATTTAAAGTTACCACCTCAACAGTTCTATTTTTCGGTCCGCCAGCACTCGCATCTCTCAGTTGCATTTCGCGCTTAAAACCTCAAAAGCATCCTATTGATCAACTTTATGACTCGAAAACTCAAACAAATCGTAATGAATAGGACTGCCAAATCTTCACGGAATTACACAAAAAGAAAAATTTAAACTAAATAAACAAATACCCGATCAGCTCAGTCCAACTCTTATCACCCACCACGCGCATGCCCAAAACTTCTCAGGGCTTTGAAGCTTCGGTATCTGCAGTCGTTCCGCGAAGCTCGTGCTGAAGCCACGCTCGGAGCGCGACTGAAAGCTTACGAGAGCTTTCCGGGTAAAGCCGCAGCAGGAATCTCAGTGCGTCTTGGCGAAATTTTTCAAAGACGTAAAACCAGTGATTCGCTAACCACAATGTGACGTGAAACTTGGTGTCAGAATTAAATTCGTAATAGTAAAAATTTATTAAATTTATTAAGTTTGTTTGCGAACTTAACTAATAAGTGTGCTTCGAGTTAAATTAGTGTGATTGTTCGCTAACTGAAATCCAGTTGTACTGATGTAAATAGAGTTAATTACTGTCGATGTACAATTAGGAGACTGACAATGGCGACACTTCGAATCGTGATGCTCTTCTGCTTTGTCGCTTTTCTTTCCCTGGGGCAGAGCATGATAGGCGTTTCTCAGAAAGAAGGTCAGTTAACTTGTCTTGTTTCAGTCGGAAGCGCCGCGACGAGTGTGACACTTCAATATTTGGAGATTGTCGAGACTGTTTGTGCTTTTTTGCGGTTTTGCGTGTATTCAGGCGCTATAGAAGAGGAAAATCGATGTGATTAAAAATTTAAGAATGAATAGAATGTTACAGTTAATGCAACTGCAAATTTTATTCGAACGGATGTTAAATGTTACTAGGTCAAAGAGAAAAATTTTTTGGTTGTAATAAATAGAGCACTTTTATGAAAGAAATTTGGTAAAAATGATCTTTTACAACTTGGCTAAATATTTTTATTTTCACATTAAAATAATGATGTCAAAATTTAAAAGGACGGTTGCTGATAACGTTTTCATGCTTTAATTAAATATCCGTTTTTTTTTTTTGTGAAGCATGGAACAATAATTTTTTTAATATTTAAATTATTTGTGTATTATAAGAATGAAAATTTATTTTATTAATATTTAATTATCGGTTGAAATTTAAAAAATCTACTTTAGAATGTTTCATTTGAAGTGTTACTTTCTTTCACATTCTGTAATTGTACTGGCTTATGTTGCATCATATTACATACTAAAATCAAAATGTTTGATTGTTTTCTGTATAATATTTTGTTTTCGAGACTTATACAATATTTTAACAAAATTAAAAATTATGTTTTTGCATTATACAAAAATTCAATTATATTAATTTAGATTGAAAATGTTTTAATTATTATCTATGAAAAAATTGTAACAAAAATGTTGCTAAGTACTTAATGAAATACAATGGCTTTTTTAAAAATCTAAATGATAAAAGAAATAAAATAATACTGAGTGTTAATTCTTTTACAAAAAAAAAATAATATTACGTACATAATTTAAAATATTTGGACTAAGTTTTAAAAATTTGTACTAACAAAAAGTGACTGATGGTTAAGATCTGTAATTAATATGGATTCTTTCACTACCGTATTCATACGAGTATAATAAATTAAACGATTTGTTTTTTGCATTAAATAACAATTACACTATGAATTTAATTTGAAATTCATAATTTTAAACTATCTGACATGAACTTATGGAAAACACGCGAAAAAATATTTATACTAAGTGCGCTTTGAAATAATTATGACAAAATTTAAGCTCACAAAGGAATGGCATTTACTATTTTCTAAATATTTTTAAAAATTTTCAAAATCTTGCCAAATAATTTACTTCATTGCAAAGTGGAAGCAATACGAACAACTTTGGTTAATATAAATTTAGAAAAAATATAAGATTTACACACTTTCAAACATTTTTATATCTCTTTCCTGGAGCGATATCTAGATCGATAAATTGGACCATTTTTACAAATATCAAAATTTGTATTTTATTATTATTTTGTATATGCAGATTTGTCTACAATCTGATGACGATTTTACTTATCGTATTATTCCAAAAACTACCAAGTGGATTATTTTGAAACGTTAATTGATTGAGATTGTCATGCAACTGCTAAAATATTAAACGATATTAGGATATAACTATTTAGCCATCCTATATTAGGAAAGCCTCGATATCTGATACTGGATAGAGATTAATATATATTAATCTAAAAAATTGCTATACTGTTTTTTTTTTCTCCATTGATGAATTTGCATTATACTTATTTATTTAGCTCTTTTGGTGCAAACATATTAAATATTCAATAAATTAGCTTTTAACAATTAACAAGTACAGATATTAAAAAAAAATTATTTAGTATAATGTAAGAAATAAATCTTTTAATATTTAAAAACATCTTCAGCTTCAAACAGAGTTAAAAGGATTCTGGACACAAGCCCACTAGAAGAAATTAAGTATTTGGGAGAAATCTGCCAACCTTGCAGGCCACGTATTTGTACCACCATGACCTGGTCCAATGGTTTTGAAACAGAGGGTCTTGATATTTTCGGACTTTCGTGGTGAAATGCGTAGAACAACCATCTTGTTTGCACCAAATTGTATTTTGAGCACTTCCACTAGTAATACAAATTTTTCTTCCAATAAATTTCGATTCAATTCAGTTGGTGTAAAAAATAGTCTAATAATACGGTAACAAATATGTTGACAGTACTTCTATACTGGATACGGTCTCATAAGATCAATGTTGACTTTTGGTTCTCCAGTGTTGATAATTTTGTATGGTGACGTTACGACTTGATGAAAATTTACTTTGATCTGTAAATGAAATACCTACGAGCAACAAAATTTTTAACAATTTCACCAATTTCCATCCTCTTGCCTTTTTCATTTTCTTTTAATGCATGTTTTACTTTTGTAACACAGATTTTGATTCATTAGCCCATTTTCAGGGCAGCGAAGACTGAGACCTTGAAACCACAATTAAATCATAACAAAAGAGATTTTCATTCCACCCGATCTCGCTATTCATGTAGATAAGCATATTCGAGAGATATGAAGTTCCAAAGTCAAAAAAAAATCACTAATGAGAACCTGTTGACCTAAAATTCAATAACTTGTTAACCTAGCATTCTTCTTGCTGATTTCAATTAATTTGTTTTTATGTCATTCTGGTAATGATATTTTGAACCACGTTTAACACAGTATTGTGTATTGGCCTACTTCATTATTTAAAACCTGAGTAAAACATTCCTGCTGTGTATTCTGATAGATATTTTCTGCTCCGCTATTGCTTAATTAAGAACTGAAATATATTCGAAAGTAACTAGTTTTAGAAACCACGCATAATACTTAACTAAGAAAGTCTTTAAAATTATCATATAACTGATTTGTTTTTATTTTGCGTCAAGGGCATTAGCTAAAAAGAATAATGTAATAGGGACATTTCGGGAAATGTCAAACGTCATGCTTTCTTGACTTTTCAAAGCAATTTCCGTCTGCTCCTCTAATGGAAATTTATTAGAAAAATAACCTTCAAAGCTTCAGACGGATGGACTTAAATGCATAATCCGTTCCAGCGAGTATTTAACTTCGCCACATTTTTTTACCCACTCTTTTACCACAAATTCTGTTGTTGTGAAATAGTCACGCAATCGCTGTTTCACTGTTGAATGCAAATAGAAAAAATATTTTAAATCATTATTGGCCCTGCTGAAATATGAAAGAGCTACAAACTCTGGAACTGAATTTTTCCCATGAATTTTCATTAGTTTCGACATGATGCAGACAATTGTTCTAATTTTTTGATAAACTTTTCTCATTTCTTCCGCTTTATCGGCGAATGCGTCCTTACTGAATTTTAGATTAATACGGTTTCGTCGAATGTGTGATTCCGCTTTCGCTTCATATAAATTCTTCTGGGCTGAATGCGCAATTTTATGGCGGCAAACATAAAACAGTGGGTTTATAGAATTTAACAAGCTCTTTTGTAGCAGTGTTTTTGCAATTATTTGATATTAACTATTTCTACTAATCGACTTTTTGCGTACGAATGTTAAATTGTGAATTATTTTTAAACACGAAAAATAAAACTTCATCGTTATTACTTTATTTGTTTGGAAATTTTAGTTTCAGGTGGGAGTGGTAACCCGCATTGTCCATTACAACAACACTTTTGCTGCGTTATTACTCCATCATTGCTACGCGCTTATTCGCTTTTTTACAACAAAATCCAGTCCATAATGTTGTGTTCCAACAGTTAAAAAAATCATTATTTTCATGGAGATTTTGCGCGTTTCAACAAAATTCGAAAACGCAGAAATATTTCCAGTGTTTCTCGAGTTTTGACTGTAGTACTGTTCAAATGACACCCTTTTCTCCCTTTTCTGAATAGAATATATTTGCCCTAAACGGAATATACCATGACTTTATCTTGTTTCCTTCTTGGAGTAGGTGTTTCTATTGAAGCTAGATATTGCAATTTTTTGTCTTCAGAATGTAGAGAACATGATCATAAACACAAGTTAATGAAACACTGAACGTTAACCGTCTGGTCCGATTTACAGATTTTTTGATTTTCAATAATTTTTTCCCTGTTTTGAAATGCACTTGTTGCATCCTAAACGATTTTAAAAACAATGCTATGTTTTATCAATTCCCCAATATCACGCCAAACTATAGACCCCAAAAATTGAAAATTTTGCAATAAAGCCCCGATTTATTTACCAGCGATTAGATTGCGAGCGATTGCCGGGTTAATGGTATCGTAATTTAGATGGCGGTCGGTTCGAAACTTTATCAGAGATCGCGTATATAAAGTTTGAATTTTTGCCGCCATGCAATTTGCGCATTTAGGGTAGAGTGCGTGCTAGAATTTAAAACTAGCGACAATCTGAAACATTTTTCTGGTGCGTGTGATTAAAGAGCTTTATCGGCTCATCACGATTAGGTCGTACTTAGTGTTATTCGAATAGATAGTTGGACCGTGGAGAATAACACTATGTAACCCTGCGTTAATTTGTGGTCTGCGAGTTATGCTAATGAAGGTTAAAGGCTAAGTCCGAACAGCTCATTATATATGTCGGACTTTCATAACTTGGGACATTCAAAACTGAGCAAACACAGCTTGGAGAAGAATAACACCGAAAGATTCTCCTGAAATTACCAAATCAAAGCTACCCTCCAGCAGTTTAGATTAAATATCCACTCGTTTAATTGAATTTAATCTGATTAGCTCAACAAGAGAAAAGCCATTGAATAATTAAACCAAATATTGGAAGCTTCAGTTAATTATCAGACTTCGCTGGATTTCATGATCTTTTCAGGCAGTTGTTTTCATAACTGCAAGGAAAAGTTTGAAATGTTTATGTTCGAAACGTCGTTAACAACAACTGGGTCAAAAATACACAAACACATTTCCGAATGCCACGAATATGCCATTGAATTGATTATTATTGCGAATGTAATTACGTTACAGCCATTTAATGGTACGATTGACCGCTGGACGTGTTAATTAGTTTATGCTGTGCATTGTCTTTGATGTGTGTTTGAGGTAATTGTATATACTGTTGGAGAACCAATACTGAGAATTTTGTTTACCCAATGGTATTATGTGCA